GTGATCACAAGTGTCTACCTTTAGGAATAATTTTTGGAGTTCTAATGAGAAAATATGACTGATGAAGTTCAACCATATCGAAAGTAAAAAGATATTTCAATCTAATAAACAATATAATATACCTTACACTATGTATCTGTTGGTATTAAAATAAGTAGGCACATACATATGTATTTTGATTTTGGTGCGCCCGGTTATTCGTACTGTTCTTTTTTCATTAATGATTGTATTTAGTACTCTCATGTTCAACTGCATGTATATCCATCTAAATGAAATGTATAAATATTGCATGTTCATACAATGTTATTTTTTGTTTAACAGTAACAAATCCCCTTCATCTCATAATGGTCTTAATTCATCCAGTGAACAACGTCAATCATTTCAATTCGCCTATACTAAGCGGTGCGTATGTTTTACTTTTTTTCCGTACAGTTATTATTATGCTGAATATATATGAATGATTCGAATACAATTGTTTTTGCATTTTTGCTCTAGTTTTTAAGTTGAAGTAATTAAGCATGCTGTAATGCATAAAATTTATAATATCATTTAATTTCCTGTGTTCTGTTTACTGTTATAAGCGCTAAGCATTGTTTTGTGCTAATGATTTCAGTGTTTACTGCTGAATAGCATGTAGGTATGTTACTCAGCTGCTGTGTGTATGAACTTAACAGGTTGGTGTTTTATTCAGTGAGATTACGTTTTTATTGAGCAACAATAAGCTCAAGAATTAATCCATACTAAACAGGGGAATACTATTAGTGGTTTGTAGGCTGCCAGATTACCCGACTTAGTCAATGCAGATTAATTTTCAGCAGCGTATTAGAACTCTTCTTATTGTACCTTTCATTTCAGATTTATAGATCATACTTTACTAAATTAGACAATATTTTAATCAGTAGCTTTTTTTTAAATCTCTTCAGTTATGATATGTCTGGCACTGACATGATTATATCCTTCGTAATAATCACAGAGGAACCAGTAAAATTAATGTGGTACTTCGATGTCTAACTAGAGCTTATGAGGAGAAAAATCGAGAAAACAGAGCTGGCTTCAGACCTAGATGTAGATATGTAGACCAACTATTCACCCCTCGACAGGTTCTGGAACATAGACATAATTTTCGACGTCTGACAATGGTCGCATTCCTTGACCTTAAGGCAGAGCTTGACTCCATTGATCATACGGTTCTTTGGAAGTGTCTTTCACCGAAAACCCTACCAAATAAAGTACGTAAAGACTCTCTACTTAAACTTCTGGTCGAGTTAGAGCTTATGGCGAACTGTCGTTGGAATCGGTTACTTCAAGGGTTGTACACCAGAGCTGTTAGCTCTCTTCATTTTTATAAAACTTTGTCATAGACATGCTTTTAAAGATAACACTTTCATCGTCTGACTTTTCAGGAGTTAATCTACCAGGAGATTTAGATACTGACTTAGGATATCCTGATGATATAATTCTTCTTAGTGAGGATGCTGACAAAATGCAGAGTCTTCTGACCACCTTAAGCAACAATGTTAGTTCATGACTGGCTTGCGTTATCACTTAAATTAATGATAGAGAGTAAAGTAAGTGAATGCATCGACCGTTTTCTTTATCGTAGGAGTCTCACCAGTACTAATGCTCTGATATCTGACAAAATCTCGGCACAGATTTGGAAGGCTCGAATGGCTTTTGCTAACTTGTGTCATTTAAGGTGTAGGCGAGATATCTGTCTTCCAATCAAGGGATGAGTTTACTGAGCAACAGTTTGCTCCGTTCTACTTTATGGATGTGAAACATGGCCATCAAGAGTAGAGGATATTCTTAGTTTACTGTTATTCCGTCACAGGTGTCTACCAAGCTTTGCTCGTGTATTTTGGGACCGCGGAGTAAGCAGTGTCTGGGTTAGAAATACAGTACTAGGTAAAGATGGAAAATAGATCGATTAGGTAGTAAATCTTCTTCAAGTGAGGTGGTTGGGATGTGTGTTACGTATGTTCAACGGCCGCCCATACTGACGGGCGATGTTTCTGGTGCAGGAACAGGCTAGAAGAAAGCTAAGAGGGGCTAGACCAAAACATATTATCAGTCCATAAATTCACTGACAATTGAACTTAGCAATACTACTAGACGTAGACTGTCTGGTTTGGGTCCGTGTGATTATCATAACCAATGGTTAGAAACATTGAATGACATGGCTTATAATCGTTTGCGACGGCCCATGTGCATCCATTCTTTGTCTTCCCTCAAATTCTAAGATTCTCAATTCCTCATAACATTTTTCGTCTTTGTTACACTAATTTATGTTTTGTTCTCGAATCGTATCTTTGATACCCAGTCTTTCCAATTACTACTAATACTGTTACTACCTCTACAATTCTGAGATTCGGCTTAACAGTTTCATCTCTCTGTGCTAATAGAATGTGGCAATTTGAATCGATGTACATACGTACCGGGTTCTACACTGTGACTGACTGACCGTTATCTCTCTCTATCTCCTAATGTAAAACACATTAGTTTCCTATTTAGTATAGTAATATTCTCGTGAAATGATCTGGCCATACTGTGGCTTATAATGTAATAAAGTATTTTTTATAATTCATTATTATTGCAAGAAGTTTATGAAAATTGTTTAGTCCGATATTTTATAAGGCGCAAAAACGCATTTCGATGCCATTCGTTCGACGCCAGCTCTTGGTTCTCAGTGAAAAATATCGATAGAGAAGCAATTCAATAGACATCACGGGGCATGAAGACAATTGTTCACTGTGGGTCAGAAAGTATTTGCTATGGACTACCGTGGCAAACATCCCATATGGATAGCTGGTTGAATCGTGCAAAAGAAAGGAAGTGTGATTTACGAGGTGTCAGTTGACTCAGATGTTTGAGTGGATCATGCTAACCAACTGAAAGCAACTTTGATCGCCGGCAACAAGATCCAACGTAGGATACTGCTTGGTGTTCTGCTGGACACGTTTGAAAACAACACCTCTTGAGTAAACAGGACATTCTCTGTGCAAGCAAAAAGTAATACCACTCTTTAATTGCCTAGAAGGTGGACACATTAAAAACAGGTCCGTCACACGGTTGCAAGTGGACTCTAACACCAGATCCCACGAATCTGTTCAAAGAGGTGTTAGCAGGTCATAGATTGGATTCAAACATGTTTCTTGCAGGATTGCATTGGGGCACTCTGTCTATTTTCTAGCTAATCAACACTAGTGGATATTTGGAGAAGACTCTAGAATCTTCTTATTGTGATTTGTACTTCCATCTATCCTTGTCATTTGGAATACAATTACGTTCTTTTTCAACCGCGTTCTGATTCGGGGACTTGTCGAGAATGCAAAGCATTATGAATAGCTGGGTCGTAATAAGAGAACTCGTAACACTGAGTATTTGATAAAAGCTATTAATTATTGAAAAGCGTCCAGTTTTATAACCAATAAGTCAATTTTTGAAGTTTGTATCACCCCTCATTCATCGTGAATAATCGTTTTGTTATCACTAGTGGCTATCAAACAAACTAAAAGCCTAAAACAGATAAGTAGTTTACAAACAGCTATATAGAACTGACAAAATTGAGGATTCTAATTTGCATATTTTTTCTGGTTATGAAATAACATTTTATTATCTCCTTAGAATAAAAAAATAATCATCTCATTTGTTTTACATTGATTCTTTTATCGAAATTTCCTTTGTTTTAATTTATGGTGGTTTTTTCTTAAAACAAAATGTTTTCACAACTATCAGTGATAAAACTTGATACTTTAGTGAAGAATAATGATAGAACTTTTCTAGAATAGATGAATTGTGAATAGCATTGAGATTTAGAACGAGCATTTCATCTCGTTAGAGGTACGTCATGTTGATATGTCTACATTCCAGAGTTGATGTTCACAATGGGACTCAAACTTGATACATTTCACTTCAAAAATGAACATGTTATCCATTGTATTAAATAGTATGGATGATCTCAACCTTGCTCTACATTTATGTTTATATTATTAATAGAAAGGGTTTGAATTTTTCTGTTGTTAATATCTAAGATTGAATCTTCAATTACTCTTTTTCAAGATATTTTCACCCTGTGAAGATTTCCTTAATGTAATCATTTTGTCACACGTTTTAAAATAGATGCATTTCGGTTAAATATAAATTAAATAATGAGTTGGATTTATTTTCAAACTTATTTTTCTTACTAGTATCTAATTAACATGAAATCTTGGTCAAAGACATTAAAACTGAATAATACCAGTATGTCTATGTAAAATTTTAGTTAAATGATGCCAAAATAAATATTCGTGTTTAACCAACGTAATAATCATGCCATTCTTTGTCAATGATTTTAAGTTAACTCAATCACAATATGTATTCATTATTATACAGTAAATTAAATAATTTTTATTTTATTTTATTTAAACACATAAACATTGGTACAGGGAGGCACCGAATAGATATGCACCACATAAATCATTCAATTTGTGTGAGGACTGAGATACTATACGGGTACCAAAACCAAAGCAGTTGGTTTTCTTAGGTGACCACATCCGAAGCCTTCGACCTAAAGGTCTGATCTACATGGCAGTGGAGCAACGTAAGGAGTTACAGTTCCATGGTAGCCGGTGATCAACGGTTGGTTCATACGCCATTTGTTCCTTTAGGATCCTGGAGCCCATGTACACCTTTAGTTTAGAATGAGGGTTTTCTAACTCCCCTAGGTGGATCCTCCGTATCCACCAATCCGGCTAAAGCGCGGGACATTCGCTTTTCGTCCTCTGAATTTCGTAAAGAACAGTAATACCGCAAGAGGGCAGTGAGTAGGACTTGTGTGGCAGTGGTTGTTTGCACGTGGTCACTTGAGAGCACTTGAAGAGGAAGAGCTGATTCTCCCCACCCTCGACCGTGCCAGTGCATTTGAGGACAAATTTAAATAATGTATTGACTTATTTTGACTCAATAATATACCAATAAATCAATTAATCTAATTTATAATTTCCCCTTCTTTTTTATTTTAGAAATTTTACCACTTGGGATAAAAATATGATTTCAGCATGGTTATATAAAATTGGTTTAGGTTATACAGTATCACATACACGAAGATGGTTAACTTCTGGTCAAGATTTAATAAATGAATCTAAAAAATCACTTGCACAAGTAAGCGGTTAGCTAATTTACACGGTACATAATTCATAAATAACTTTATAAGACAATGTCTTTTTTCATAGAGAAAATGAAAAAGTATCTTTACGTTTCATTCAAGTTAATTGTAATTGAATAAGCCTTATAAAAATTAATAAATCTTAGTATAAATACTGATTAACAGCATTCATTCGTAAATCTATAGACCAGAAATTGATTACTTGAATATTTTGAAAGGATTATGCTCTTGTCCAAAACAGTTTAATGAGTTTAAGCTTAAAGTCATTTAAAAATGTATAGAACAATGAAACAATTAGATCCTCAACTTGTACCAATCAGGATGTATGCATTCTATGTTACATTAAGTGAGTCAATTCATCCCTTATAATAAAATTTAATTGGATAAAAAGATTGTACTTTATTGATATCTTCTATTCAAAGACTTAAACAATATAAAAGGTAATTATTTCAAAGAAGAAACTGTTTTCAAAATATTTAATTGAACCACCGTAGAGTTGTGTATACATTTTAAATAACGAGATTATAGCTGGTATTCGCTATAGGTTGATATTACTCGGAGGTGTAACTCAAAAGTGAACAAGTGACTAACTGTTTCATTGAAATATGGGACTCTTTATCAGTTAAAAGCCATAACCTCATCAGGGATTTAATCGCATACCTTCAGGTATGGAAGGTTGGTCATCGAAGATAAGGAAAAATGGTTGTCATATATTATGGATTGATCTAATTTCAGTGGTCTAGAAGGTAGGCGCTTGTTGGCAAGACTGAAGGTCCCGGGTTTTATTCCTGGTGAGGACGTGGATGGACAATGTACAATCGATGAGAAATCTGTTAAATACTTCCTAGTTTTCTATGAGTTCTTAACTTAGGTAGGGTAGTAATAAGAATAAACAAACATGTGTTTATACCTTTTCCACTATTTCCTAACCTTTTCATCGTGCTAATTAACATTTAAACAGCAACATTTGTATACATTCATAAGAAAGGTAAAGTTCAGTGAGCGATTAAAACTTATTGTATCTCATGTATCATGGTTTAAGAATTTAACAAATAAGCTATACCGAACACGATTTATCATTCTCACGACTGATCTGCATACATTATTACCTGACCTATAAAGTTTTTACATTAAGCTGCTTAACTACATAGCAGCAAAATATAGTATACCACGATATTAAGCTATGGAGTCGAGTAGTAGCATTACAAATTCGATTGTTTAAATTTGATCAGTACTATAAACTGGACAGAAAATAATACTGGTTATTACTAATACCAATACTACTATAACTACTACAGCTTATATTTGTTTCTGTTAGTTTCGCTATCGATTGATCAGCGATTAGTAGCTATTGTCTTGTTTGTCTAGTATTTTATCGGTGACCGGATTCTATCCATCAGGTTACAATGTGGTCACCAGTTTGAGTACCTTAATATGACTTGCTTTATTTTAATATGTTAGTTAATTAGATGTAGTTGACAAGATACCTTCATGCTAATTACTGTCCAATATGTAGACGTCTGTTTGACTCTGAAGAGACTAGTGTTCCCTATACAAATCAAACCCCCATCACCTAGCTATCTTATTTCGATAACTTATCAAGGTACCATATTTTAAAGGAGATTGTGTTTAATTTAATAAATAACTTACAATATTCTTTTTTTTCCATGTTTATTTATCCCATTTCGATAATCGACGTTTTCTTATTTATTTATCTATTTATTTACTTAATCGCTAACAGATGTTCGTAAAAGTATAATCATGTAGATACCATAAACTAGTAGACTATTATTTTCTGAATTGAATACCATCATTCAATTGATTAACTGATGAATAAATGTTAATCAGAGCGTATACAACAAAGTTGGAGTACACCAATATTAAATAAATTCATTTTATTTCGCAATTTTCATTGTGTTTTTTTCGTTGTTTTCTTCGCTTGTAAAAATCAAAGTTATTGAGTAATAAGTACGTCGTAATAGAACATTACTTTTTATTATTGATTGTAACTTTGATTAGTATCTAAGGCGTTATAATTGTCCTGATCGTTAAAAAAAATTCATTATTTACTTAATTGATACACATAAATTATGGTACAATATGACATTTAAAAAAAGCATACACCGCAGAAATAAACTAATGGTATTTTGAAAGAATAAATAGATGAAAATATATTATAATCAATGAATGTGAATAAACAGTAATATGATATGATCATCAATAAAACTCAGTTAAAAACCCAAACAACAAAGTTTTCTTTCAGCCACGGAATTCGTTTTACCTGGATGAAGAAGATTAAAGTAAAATCGCAACTGGATTTCATTTTGAGGCATATCTCATAACTACTGAAGTTACTAAGTTGCATAATCTCTAGGACTGTAAACAAGGATTCGGAATGTACTAACATATTTTGTCTTACTACATCTAACTTTGATACAATGGTACCATGTTATAAACTTACCACCACTACACTTTTTTATACCCAGTTCAATAGTAGACAAATAATGTCCGATTCGGAAGCCACTCAGACGATAAAGGCATGAGAAGCCACCAAAGTTGATGCCTTAAGGTAGTTGAGATACATCTTACTAGTGAGGACTGATTAGATAAAACGTAGGACAACAGTTTATGCGTCAAACAAAATCTTACAATTAGATTGATGTAAAAGTAGTCCAATAGTCCAATTATCTGGTAATTATGTGGTAAAGATATAAACAAATAACCTTCCGTAAGATATTACCAAGAGTTAGCACTTTCATAATATTCTTACCGTGTTATCGTTTTCTTTTCGTTTCTTTTTTTTAATAATCGTCTCCTATCAATTGATTTTCAGTTAATGTGTATACGTAACCCGTTACATTTGAAGAAATTGTTAATCCATATACGTTTATGTATGAAAGACCAGTATCCTAATAATAGTAATAATATTAATATTAATTACAATTATGGGTGTTTATATAGAAATATAGAACCACCTGAAAATTTCGACATACCGGGTAATTATCATCGTTAGTTTTCTATGGAACTTATTTATGATATATTTAGTTTGTGAATAGTATTTTCATTATTTTTGTCAGTGTAGTTTTAACATTTCGTCATTTTATATTCAGAGTACATTATTTTTTATCATCTTTTAAATCTGTTCTAGTGGTAGTGAAGGGATTATTTTACGTTTGTTAACTAACACAGTTCCAGAAAATGGTTTCAATAATTCTGTTGTTAGGTAATTGAAATTATTTGATAGAAAAACCCTCATTGACTTAGTTTTCATATTAATTAGTACCCGTCAGCAAGATATACCTACAGTTTCAAAGGAACTAATGTTCTTCATGGGGTGTGGATAGTGCGAGATACTACCACTGAACTATGTGGGATGCAATCGACCTCCTATAAATCAGAAGTATTTGCATTGATTGATCGCTGAGTAGTAACTAACTTTATGTTAATCTGTCCTGACCTGAATAACTCAGTGGTAGCCCTTCAATTTGTGAAACTGGTAACCTATTAATAACATCCGTTACCTCAGAACTGGACCCACTATTTTCGGATGTGTTTTAGCCATCCAAAAGTTAAATTCGGATTTTCCCCCAGATCATATCTAACCAACTGACATAACTAGTGGTAATTTTTAAAATTTTCTTTCCAAATGGTTTAGTATATATTTAGTAGGTTGAAGAATTTGAAAAATCACATGTGATCGTCCTTATATTCAGGTCAATGTCAGTACATGAGATTGTCTTATATATATAGCATTGAAATCCACTTCCTGATAAGTTAACAAAACTCTCAACCCTAGATAACAATCTTATATATTGAGCAGCGTTTAACATTCGAATAATTTTCCAAACGCTGTTACAATTTGACTGAATGAACAATAACCATTAACTACCAAATAGTCAATATGTCAGTCCTACTGGATCAGTACCTTTCGATTTTTACTTTCCCTGTACATTATCCCACACTAATTAGTTCGCACACAACTGTTTAAAATAAAAAAAACTTAGTGTTTTTTGTTTAGTGAAAATCAATTATTACCTTTGTTTTAATGAAGTGAAAATTCCGATTTTAGTTTAAATATACATTAGTTAAAGTATTTTCTCTGATGAACCAATCAGATTCAAAATAGCGACCATTGGAATTTCGCGAAAAATTCAAAATTTAATTGTGTATAGCGAATATTTTATTAAAAGCTGAATAAGGCCTAGTAATATTTCATTACTGAAACGCTTAAAACTGATAAACATGTAAAGACTGAATCATAAGTGTCCTGGTTTGTGGGAATTTGAATGTAACTTAATGTTATTGATGTCTTAAATTGTAGAGCTGACTGTAGAATTTTTAGTCCAAACGACCAGGAAGCCATCATGATATGATGGAAAGAAAAGTCAATTTTCGATTGATTTACTCATTATGAGTTTTGTTCAAGACTACCTTCCGTTTTGATTCAATGTAATGATTACTCAATGCAGTATTTGCTTTCCTTTCTCGTATGATATTTTATTCTGTATAATATGCGATATTCCATTACCATGAACTATCCTCAGTCTGTGATTTGTTATAACTCTAAGTATTTTTCATATGTGATTTCATCCTAATTATTAATCAAAATGGGTCTATGAATCAATATATAAATGAGTGTATTTTCTACTGGGGTCATCGTCATCGTGTTTTGGGGTTAATAAATCATCACTTATACCAGTTTCTGTGTTCTTACTTTCGCGTCGTGGGAATTGCTGAGGTCCCTTGTATATAAGGGATTACTTATTTATATCACCTGTATTTCGATTGTCTAAAAGTTAGTGTTACCTTGGGAAGATCACTGTCAGAGTCACAGAATGTCATGAGTAAAGTGTAATCAAAAATATTAATCAATAGTGATGAGAATTTGGAGAGACTATATTTTATGGATGATCTTAAGAGATTCTCAAAGTGACCTTAAGAAATCTCAACCACCTAAAAAATTTAAAACAAGGCTAAGAATTAGAATTAGTGGTTGGAATTAAGAATCAGGGTTGGGATCTTCATCAGGAACTGACATCCTCTGTGATTCAAAAATGTTCTGTAGCCATATATATGAGTGAATTTCGCGTGACATTTTAAAACCTCTTATTTTTAAATAAATAATAGTCCAATCATAAATTCTATTAATTCCAGTCAATAAAAATAATTCATTTCGTTATGTTTTTCACTGTATAGGTTGGTTACATGATGTGGGTTTATCATCTTATATTCCACAATTCGATAATTGCATCATTGACCCTTATGTGCTAGATCAACTTACTATGGTACGTCTAACATTAATTGTATATTAGTATTTTTGCCTTTGACTATGACTTTATATATGTATGTATGTGAACGACTTACAATCCATGACGTCGGTTTCAGATACATACACTTCCTTTACGCTTTACCATTCAGTAATATAAATGTATAGATTGAGAAAAAGGCTAGGCTGCTATAACTAACGTTTTAAGTTCTGTTGCACATAAATCATAGGTAGATATATACGATTGTCCTTCTGATCCAAACAAGGAAATGTAAGCTGAGGGCTTGACGAGGTGCTTAGTCAACTACCTCCAATATTATACCCAGAGCGTAACTTCTCACCTATCGTCTGATCTTGAAATGAATTGTGAACACAGGCATCAGATATGTCTATAATCACCGAGTCTACCACCATGCCTCGGTATACACAAACATACCGTGATTTTATTTGATGGATTTTCTTCTGGATCTATCTCAGTGGTTTAAATGTCACTTCCTTTCCGTGAAACCCAAAGGCTCTGGGTCCTATCCCTTTGAAGCTCACGACTACACACTAGTAAGAAATCCTGGTTCTCAACTTTGTACCCTAACTAGTCTTATTCCTTGATAAAAATTACGTAAATGGCAGTTTGGTAACACTTTTCTCCCTATGATTTCAGGATGATTTATCTGTGTTGAAAATGTCTAGTGAATTACATATGTTAAGTTTACGATGGGGATTACAAATGTTAAGACATATTAATTTTGATAGAAATCGTTTATGCCGAAGTCAGATGGAACAATGTAAGTGAAGTATTGATAATATAATCGTATTTTTTGACAAAATTGTTTTATCAGTACATATTTTGCCGATATTCAGTACTATTCGTCAACCAACAGATTTTATTAGTCTAGAGACCATAATTGTCTTTCGAAAAATTTGTTCAACGGATGAGAGTTTCTCTCTCACCCTGTTCTGTTTTTTTTCACTACCCGACATTCTCAACTAATTATTTAGTAAATAATATTACTAACGTGATTATTGAACGTAATCATATTGTCTAGAAAGACAATACTGAAGTACCCAAATCAAAGAAACCAATACTTCCTGAATTCTCACTCTCAACTATAAATATTCTCCATCTCACAATTATTGTTTCAAAGGTAAAACTGTGCTGTCCTCTTCTTAAATCCTGAAAACTTTATATTCAATCCTTAGTACAGTTTCTGGATGCATACTCGTCTCGTATTGGAAGATAATATACAGTGGTTCTGTTTGGCACTTCCGTTTCACTGTTGACCTGCTGCCATGTCTAACACATTATAACGATACCTATATATTAAACCAGAATATTTGCATGAATTTCAAAGCTAACAATGCCTAAAATCTGTTATGATGATGTTTATTACCATTTTAATAGCTTCATCCTCTTTTCTGACATATTTCATTGTGAACAGTGCTTGTCTTGTCTAACTTTCTACTTCAATGTATATTGCTATCATCCCCAGTTCGATTTCAATTTCTCATCGACTTTCATTTCGTGAATTTTCTCTCTGACTGTACTGCTATAATATATGACAACTTAAGCAAATACATATTCATGGTATTTCCAGTGTTATTATCAGTATAGGGTTGTGGAGATTATTGTGACTGGTTGATTGGTCGATTGATTGATACTATAAGAAAATACGTAATAAATATATATAGGCTGCTGACTTCATGGAACTCAACATTTTGTACATATTCTTTAAAATTAAACTGATAGTATTTATAGTTTGTTATTTTATGTTGAATTATTCTTAAGATTGTTATTTCTTACTTGGTTTAATTAATACAGGTGAAGCAAATTTACCTTGTAAAAGAAACATGTTACATTCTCCCATCCAATCGTTAAATCATATTCAAGATAATATAAAACCTAATAATGGACATAATGGAAATCATGTGCATACGTCTTGCTTGAATACTATTTCTACTTTACAACCAGATTCCATGAATTCTGATATTAATTTTATTTGTTCAACATATTTACCAATACAAATTTGCTATTGGACTCAACAACGAGTAATGAATTGGTTACAAAGTATCGAATTACCTGAATATGCCAGTGAATTATGCGGAAATGGTGTACATGGTGCTTTAATGGTAGGTGATGTGATCTTCATCTAAATTAATTGGATTCATTTTAGCTTATTTGTAATATCGTTGTGGTTTTAGTTAGACATCCAATGAAAACCATAGGTTACTGGATAACTGTCTGACCCGTCAGTCAGTTGGTCATACGCAACCTAGAACCTGGAACGTGTGTACATCGGTTCAAGTTGCCACAGCTCATTGGCACAGTGATATGAAGTTGTCAGACCAAATCCCAGAGTAGTAGAAGTAATAACTATATTGTCGCAATAGAAAAGCCTTGGCTTCCAGGATACTATTTGAGAAGAAAATAGGAGTCAGTGGAATAAAATAAAATTTTATAAGCTAACGTAAATACTTAGTACCTAAGGGAAAATGAGTGAATGCATCTGCGTCATTGTGAATGATTTCGAGTCATGTCATCTCAAGTCTTTAACCATTGGCTAAGGTAATCACTCGGACCCCGACCAGGTAGCCTGACCCATCTACATGGTTCAATCTAATAGTCAGTATCTTTGTGGCCTGATGCCCTGGCTCTCTTCTTATTTATTCCTATACCAGTAAAAATTTCCGTTTCGTGTGTGATTACTAGTGGTATTATACTAATTACTCACTACTTAGTTCCCCAAAATAAAACTTCGTAACATAGTTGTTAAAACGTCTGTATTTCTGTCACCACACCACTATTGGTCATTTTTAAACATCTACTATATTTCTTCTCACCTAAAAAACAGTAATATGTTACATTATGAATATGGCATACATGTTTTATTGCCTATTACTATAATCCATCTGTCGTATCTACTTTCTAAGCTGAATAGTTTTAATTACAAAACTCCCACTATTGCCATTCTGGACAATACTACTACAGCTTAGTTTTCAGTAAAAGCTATGAATGACAATGTTTCTTCAGTTTACTGACTTCTATGCAAACTTCCTAGGCATGCTTTACCGCATAAGTGGTACCTCATATTGATCGGATAACTTCTGAATCTGTGAATTTATGGTGTCGTGCACATCCGTTTTTATATTTACTCACTATACGGAGAACCAGTTGAATTCATAACTCGAAACACTTTTATTATTTTTTTGTAATTTCCGAGGGGCTGTATTTTTCCATTGTTATTATTCTGAACTGTAAATCCATTCAGTTTATTTACTAAATATTGGGTTGGGCTTAAGTGAATGACTCAGTACTGTCGATAATTACAAGTGCATTATACATTAGAATAATGGTCAACTAATAAGTCTTCTAATTGAACGCTAAATTCGACCTTTAAGCTCTTCTAGTAACCATCAGGCTAAACCTACGCAACGATTTGAACACGAGAGGAAAGGCGCGAAATATTGAAGAAATACTTTACTCCAAGGTTCGGCCATGCATAAAAAATCTAGGGTATTTATAGTATTTTAGATGACTCCGAGCTTCTGGAAATTTTTGGAACGTTACTAAACATTATAGTAGTAGGGGTAATCATCTAATGAGGAACGCGACATGTAACTTTTCACTCTCTAAATGTTTCTGGCAAAGCTTCTATTGAATGCTCATTGGATAAGATGTTTCTCAGCATTTTTAGAGCCTCTTCTGGCTTTTTTCCGTGGAATTTTCTGGATCACCCCAACATTAACAATGAAATTTATAACCAATGGTTATACTGAGGCAATCGTGAAAGAAGCCTACATATCAAAAATGGAGTGATCAATATAGTTTTGATTATCAACCATTGAAAAATACAAATCCTAACAAATATCCATTGAATAAGCTATGTGGCAACATAGTAACATAGTAACTTTTGGTAAATAACACATTGGTGTTTGAAGTAATAGATACCAAGTTCAAGTCGTAGTTTGAACATTTAAGCACTTGGATACAAGTAGGTAAATTCAGATGATAAGTACTAAATGAGATAAAAGTGTACATCAGTCAAATTACTAACTATAATCAAAAACTAGTAAACTAATTAAGCTTAGGTTGTTTTGCGTGGTTTAAATAAATCTCATTTTAAATTGATCTTTAATAGTTCTCATATTTATTCATATAAATTGAAAAGACATAGATTTTTCTCTTCGTTCTCTTCTTAATATTTGAAGGTATTTTTTTAATAATTCTCATGAGTGTATACGCGCTTACTTTACAGGAATTCATTTGTTAATGATTAAATTCTTAGTTTGTATTGATTTTATACACTTTAATCAACTACATAATAAAATGCAGAGTAGATTTTCTTATATGCCTCTAAAACCTTGGTGTAAATCTTTTAATACGACTTTAAAGAAAACGGTATTTCCGTGAAAAATGAAGGACTAGTCGTTTAAAGGGATCGAACGCATGTTGAGAAGCATTATAATGTTTAATCTTCAATGATCATCTCATAAGCACCACCTTTAAGTTTTTCTTCATCACAATATGTAAAGGAAAGCACTGATTAGCTGTTAGAGGACTTACTTACGCCCATAAAGATTCTCCAGCCAACTGTGTCCTGGGCTGCCCTTGCTTTTCAAATAATTGCTTTTACGTCTGAGACAGATCCTCCTTATTCATCGATGATGCTGTCCAGGTACGTGGAATTTTCCACTTCTCTCAGAGTTTCTCCATCAAGTGTGATTGGGTTAGTACCCTCTGTGTTGTAATTGAGGATCTTTTTTTCCTTTTGTATGCTGAAACCCGCTGCTGCAAAGGCTGCTACTACATTGTCTGTCTTCACCTAAATTTGTTGGTGTGTATGGGAGAGAAGAGCTAGGTCATCCGCAAAGTCCGAACCGTCTAGCTGCATCCAACCTGTCCATTGTATTCTATGCTTCCCCTGAAATATGGAGGTCTTCGTAATCCAGTCGACTACCACAAAGAATAAAAAGGGTGAGAGTAATTAGTATTGTATGACACCAGTCCTCACTTGGCATTCATCTGTCAGTTGTTCTCCATTCACCACTTTGCAGTGTAGTGAATTCAATATGATGCTGACGATCTCAGATACACTATCGAGTCGAAGTAGGTCCCACAAAATTCTCCTATCCACATTGTTTAACGCTTTCTCATAGTCAAGGAAGTTGTCTATAGCGGCGAATTTCATTCAACTGATTGTTCGACGATGATTCGTGATGCCGCAATTTAATCTGTGCACAACCGGTTCTTACGGAATCTAGTCTGTTGATCTTGAAGTTGGGCGTCTACTGAATCTTTCGTTCGGTTCAACAACACTCCATTAAAAACTTTGCCTGGTACTCATAGTAGTGTGATGCCTCTGTAGTGTTCGCACTTGCACATATCTCTTTTCTTTGGTATCTTGATGAGATGTCCTTCTTTTCAGTCAGTCAGCACTTGCTATTCCTACCTAATCTTCCTGAATAGAGCATGGAGCATATTTTCAGTTATTTCTATGTCTGAATTCGGTGCTTCAGATAGTATATCGTCTAATAACACTTCTTTCCCACTCCTGATTTGCTTAGTGACCATGCTTATTTCTTTGATTATTGGTGGAGCGAGATCTATGGGAAGTTCTGTAGGTGCAGCTCCGATGTCTGGTGGGTTCATAGGAATTGGTCTATTCAAGAGTTTTTCAAAGTGCTGTACCTACCTGTTCCGCTGTTTTCCAATCTTACTAATTCGTTTGCCTTCTTTGTTGCTGACCGGTCGTTTTGGTTTACTATATTTACCTGTTACCCTCTTCGTTGTATCATATTTCCTTCTTTTGCAACCTTTTCCTCTGTCATTATGAAATCATCGTATTTCTGCTTATCGACTCTAGTGCTCCTCTTCGCTCTCTTGCTTGCTTCTATGCATTCGGTCTATGCCTCAACTTTCTCTGTTCTTGTTCGGCTGTTGTTGATGGTTTTTTCTTGTTCTTCCTTTCGTAAATCTTGCCCATGGTATACGTGGAGGTCCATTCTTCATGATGATGCTTCTTGCGGCCTAGTACTTCCTGACTCTTCGAAACTACTGCTTCTTGGATCGCTTTCTAGTTGTCCTTCATGGTAGTCTCCTCTTTAAGTAGATCTTGTGAAACTTGGAACCTGTTGCTGATAACTCTCTTGAATTCGTCGAGTTTCTCAGTGTCTAGAAATAAGGCTGTAATAAACCTTTGTAGTGCTGTTTCTTCAGTTGTACAGTGCTTCTTTAGCTTCAGTCTCATCTTAGCAACCACCAGGTGGTGATCTGAAGTTATTCAAATATAATCTAACTGTTTCTCTGTAGTGTAATCTGGTGAAACACATGTAGTTCTGTTTATGTTTTTGTGGAAGGGAGAATATAGTGTCACGTATGGCCATTTTGTTAATTGCACATAAATTTTCAAATCTCCTAACATTCTCGTTCCTTTCTCCTAGTCTATCCATGTAGACCCATAATATCTTCATACCTGGTGTTGTCCATTCCGACTTTGGCGTTTAGGCCTCCCATCAGGATGATCAGGTCCTTTCCTGAGCACTTCTCTACGATCGACTACATTCTCTCGTAAAACTGGTCTCTATCGTTTTCATTGCTATTATTGATGTGTCCATGGCAATGGACAGCATCCATTATGAACTCCTCCTTCTTTACTTTGAAGGATGCTTTGATAAATCTGGATCCATGAGACTCCAATCCTACAAGTGCTTTTCGTGCTTCTTTGGACAACATTAGAGCAACTTCTTGTATATCCGAAGCATTCTCTTCCTCATGACCAGAGTACATAATCACCTCTCCCGAAGTTAATATTCTCTGTCCAGCTTAAGTCCAATGGGTTTCACTTGTTTCGAGAACTGCTATGTTGTATCTCTTTATTTCCACAACTATTTGACTGTTCCTCCCGGTCTCCTACATTGTCCAGACATACCATTTACCTATGTCAATTGCTGCTCTGGTTGTTAGTAGGAGTATCGCCCTCTTAACTTCCGAAGACTTTCGGCTTTCACTTTTAGGTGTCATAATTTTTGTAAATGAAGATACTTCGACTCATATGATAGAGTTTAAATGGTTTAGACTATTTTTCTTGGTTGTCGTTTCGTTAGCAAGATTGTTTTCTACGGAATGGGGCTGCTGATACCATGTTCGACCCTCAATCTCTATCCGGGCTTGGGACCGACATTAACATTTGAAGGACTACAGGTATAGCTAGTAGACGACTACTAGATGATAATTATCAGTGTGGAGTTGCGGAAATTGTTGAATTTCATTGAGATGATGAAACTATCTACGTAACATGAACACTGTCAATCTGGAACCACTGAATATCTGTTTTTCTTACTATTGAGCTTCTTATCAGTGTACATCTTCGACTCCACTACCACTTAGGCGTTGCCATGCGAGACTTAAGAACTTTATTTCGATTCCTGGTTTCGCGATCATAGATGCGCATCACGGAGGAATCTCATACTAAGGTGAAAAGACCGTTCAGTGCTTCCAGGTCCCCAATTTCATTTAACTTATATCGGCTAGTAATTCCAGTGTAATATTAAACGATACCCAGTTAATCCATGTATTGAGACCCTCTCCTAGCGCTGAAAGTTTTTATGATTACGCTTGTGACCGGTTGTCTAATTTATTAATAACACCACAATATTAGTTTAATTTATATCCTATTTTCTTATTTCTTATTTTTACTCTAAAAGATTCTAGAAGATCGTTTTACACCAGATCTTTTAGCTGATATTTTGCGAATTCCTCCAGTGAAATCACTTGTTAGACGACATTTAACAAATAAATTTATTGAACTTGTTGGGTTAGATATATGGAAGCGTAAACAACATAACGAAACCACTAATAATAATAATCCACTGACAATACATTCTAAAATCAAAGTAAGTGAATACATTTCTTGTTAGTTAATTTAAAGAAAGTAAATAATTACTTAGTTAGGAAACTTTTATGTTGGAGGAGTTGTGCTTTCTCATCGATTTTATTTCGTTATGTGGGGAAAGCCATGGAACTGAGCCTCGATATAGCCATTTTTCGCAAATTTACATAAATCGAAAGTCACTAGCAGTGAGATCCAGGCTATTTTCGGTCGATAAATACCAAGTGGGACGAAGCACGTGTTTGGAATTCCACTTTTAGCCACGGTCCATCCATATAGTATTATTGTATTACTATAAACAATTTACCCAATTCTCAAGTTACATGAAATTATCAAACTAAATCGTGGCAATTTAATTTGATGATAAAATGGAGATTGATTTCACTATCCAATCTTTGAATAGAAGGAACTAAAGTTCTCAGTTATTAAGAAACTAGTTTAAAGTCTATTACGAAACTACTTCATTCAAATACGAGTTTAAACCATCTCGCTAAGATTCAGGACTGGGTTTTGTCCTGTTTTTCTTTATATCTGTACCCTGTGTAGATTGTCTCTGTGTAGCTGATTTGTCACAAACTCTTGTAAAATAGATGGACTGAAGTGAAAGGTAGTGGGTTCGAGTTCCAATGTGACAAGATTCTAACCACAATCCATCTACTCTATGAAATGCTGCTGGTTGATAACTAGCTTTCAATGTGATTTTCGAAAACTTAGTAAGTCGTAATGACCTTTAGATTTTAACCTTGATTAAAGTTAAACAAGTAATATATAAAGAACTTGAAAATAGTTAAGCTTTTATATTCATGAACCAGTTGAAATTGCAAAATATGGATTACTGGATTCCGACTCGGTGGTGTAGAGTATCGTCCCCATCTCTTCAAACTGATCAGTCCTGACCTCGTAATATTAAACCTAGTAGACTTAGATTTCTCTCAAACATGGTCATCAGTGAGTAAATCAGTGGAGTCCAACCTTGTCAGTATGAGTAAGGTACCCACCGAAGACAATGGAACATGGTTGAGTAATATCGCTAATGACTGAAGTTAGACTTGTATACCACTGTATTCTAGATCACTAGTCTAGAGGCTCAGCGTTTGAGCTTGAGACCGACATACTGTGTTCAATCCCTGGTTACAAAGTTGCGGATAAACACTGGTAACGACTAACATACTAGGAAAAAGCACCTATCCAGTGCTTCCTGTTTCTCATTGATTGTCTAACTTGGATTTCGGTTCGTGGTCTTAATAAAATGCTTAACTCTTTATCTTTTGTTTTTCTCGTTTTATCTAACACTTTTGAAAATATAAATAGCTTACGAAAAAGAAAAATATTTTCAATTCTAACCGTGGACACAAGTCCAACCATCACAATCATGTTAGTGGTGTTGGTGATGATGATGCAAGTACTGAGCTTGTTTGTCCTATTGAAATCGATGCCAGTCATACGAGTATCTTTGTAAGTTTTACTATCACAATTAATTTGTTCTGTACATGTACTCGATAATAAGCATTATGTTTACATTTTAAATGTCATACGTGTTCCATTCAAACACTTATATTTTTAAGGTGGACTGATGGTTCAGTGGGCAAGGTTTTTGATTAATAACTATTAATTGGCATGTTTGAATTACGCCCAAACTGTTTCGATCTGAGTAACCTTAAAGTGTCACTAAACTCCACGTTAAGAGTGTAACCTGAAGCCACGAACACTAATTTGTACCTGGAGAAGGAGTTGGGTAAACAAATATTTGACCTTAGAAAATTATTTGTAGTTAGGAGGGATGAACAGTGTTTTCTCAAACCTGTATGAAGCTGAACAGATACAAAGATATTTTCTCAAAAAAAATGACATTCACTTTATCACTAGTTTGTATATATCCCGAATAGACTGTTGACAAGTGAAAGTGTTTCTCATTTTCTACTGACACTGTTATTAAATACCAAATGTATACACTATTGAATTTCAAACCCACCGCTGATGTACTACAGAGAACGTAATTCTTGTATTCACTTAACCCTACACAAACGCAATACAACTAAACCCATGAAATACAGAGGGAAAACAAAAATGAACTTTACCATCCAAATATTAGATTCCAAAAGAATATTTGAATAACTTCATTTATGTAAATATTTGTTTTACATTATTAGTGTAACCGACCAGTTCCTTCATTAATACTATGTGAACAATACAAATTAATGTCATACTGAATCAACCCTTCTATAAATTATCATGAGAATCTATTTATTAATGTCACCAAAATACATATGTCACAAATCAATAAAAATGAATTACTCGATCATCCGTTTGATCCCAGCACTACATCATATGTTTTGCTACTTAATTTCCATTTATCAGTAGTAAACATAATGCAGTCAAATTTATTGTATTGATTATGATTGGCAAATACATAGTAAGATGATTTCAACTGATCTAGAAAATATTATGGGATTGAGGAAAAAAGACTGAATGAAAATGGAGAGATGATTTTTGGCTAAATGACATGTAAAACAACTATAACATATTTGTAAGTACTGTTAATTTTCCCCTTGATCAATCTCCATTGGGATATATACAACCTTACCGGATTGCCATTATAATACTAGAGCTAGCCACTGTATAGCTACTCCTTATTTGAAAAGAAGAGAACTTTTACTATTCTATCTCAATTTAGAAACAGTGAAGTGATGAATTAACTCATGATCAAATTCTAGATTCATATGACTATATTTGAAAATTTACTGTGTGATTTGTTTACGTATAGAAGGAAAAAAATGACGTGTACAAATGCAAGTGAGACCCCAAAATCATAGTATCATCTAAAAATTGAAATGTATATAAAAGCCAGTAATAAATTCTGGAATTTCACCAGTTAGTCTGGAGGAGAATTTTTCGGTTTCTGGTACGTTTCAAGAAGCAATTGTAGGAACTTTTAAAAATCTACATAATGTCATCTGTTTCTCAAAACCGTCCAAACAACCCAGTCAGTTATCTAACCAGAGGTTCTCTACCTTCTTTAAAGAAACATTGAAGTAGGTCGACTGGGTTTAGTGATTTATGGAACCTGGAGAGCTGTTCCTCAAAAATTTCTACTCATGATCCAAGATTCTGTTGAAGCTTGTTGATCGACATCCCACCAACCTCACTTACACCAGACTTCTTGCCGCCAGTGACTCAGAGGAGTTGAAACGGGTTTTTGTACATCCTAGATGCAAATGCTGCTTTCACGTTGAAGGCACGCTCCATCCATTGTCCTAGTCCTTATGCAAATTCGGCATGATTTTATTACGTAAAAATTCACATTTATCACCAAAATCAAAGTTATCAGGCGTATACCGATCTGCCTTAAACTGTTGAAAGGAGCATTCAAAAATCTAGTGCTTATAAGCTGGACGTTATACTAACATTAAAGCGACTACACTCATTATTTCCATGGCTCCATGAAAAATGTAACAAGTGCTCGCTCGCGTTTGCCCTTGCAGTAGCTATAAATGCGCAGCAACACGAGAACATTTTTAAAGGACGAGTGGATTTTCATGATTCTCTGTCGTATTATGTAAAGTAAACTGAGTAGATAAATTCACGTTACTGAGAAACAACACTATTCACAAAAATCGCGGTACGGATACAAAATGCTTGTTTCCTGGAAGTCAACATTAACCTCTTCTGCTTAGTGGTGTCATGATATACATGAGCAATCCCATGGACTCCTTGCTTTTTTACTCTGTAAGAGATTTTTAACTGAACTAGCAGTCTGTAGATTTGTGGTTTCATCTGCCCATTCACAGTCTCATTATGCATCCAATCAGTACACAGTGTGGTCATTTGAAAATCAAATATTCTACAGTTTTATGTTTATCGTAATCGATTTGACAGTACCGATAATCGAGATTAGATGGTGGTTGGAAGTAGTCGACAGGAAACCCTGGACCCAGGTTTCGTGCTACTTGGCACTCGTCAGCAAGGAGTACCTGTAATCTTGAGGGAACTGGTGCTCCCTGGCGGATTAGATCTCGTGTCAGCCAGCTTCACAGTCAGAGACGTTACCATTGAGTTATCTGATCCGCGACCGACCTCCTGTAGGACTGAGATGTAGTCACAATTGATTGATCACTGAGTGGCGATCTGCACTAATAAGGACTAGACACGCAGGAAATTGATCAATCAATTGTGAGTACCGATAATCAAATATCTTTCTGAAATATTAAAATTTGCCTTCAAAATCAACCATTAGTCCATAATTTAAAGCTTTAAGATCATTAAGTCATGATTCGGATCAGGCTTTAAAAAAACGCCAATCATTAGGTAGTTATTGAAACCAGGTATCTGATAGTGTATCAACTAACGTTATCACCATAGAAAATTTCAGTTTCCAAGCTTATAATTCAATTATCTAGTTCAAGATTTAGCCTGAAATAATGTCATCAATAATACGTTAAACGGCGGCTAAGCCCGAAACAAATGTGCATTTCGATATGGTGATCCCTACAGGGTATTTTTTTATTCATCCTTTTAAAGAAAGCTATATTGTAATTTGGTATAAACGAATGAAGTTCCGTGTAATTTCTTTGGATGATGAAACAATATTATTGATATCCCCATATATATCATTGTTATAACTTTCAGTAGTCCTTCGGATGGTATTTAGATGAACACTTGGCATCACAAAATGAAGTTAAAATTTAGAGTCAGTCAATTGACACCTCCAAAATATATTTATTGCTAATTTATAAAGCTTTTTTTATAACTGGCTCACTTATCTTGTATTTATATGTATTTCGACAGGCCGAAGAAATAGTCAAACCTAATCGTCAAAGCATACATCTACAAGCAGAAAATGTTCAAACAATACTTATCGATCCGGTTACTGCAAAAGTGCAGGTAAGTTTTATTTTTCAAAGGTCAAATTTTATGGTTAACTACTGATAATTAATTAAGTAGTAAAAGTCTAAATAGTTAAAACATAGCTACTTCACATTCGTGTATGAAGTAGACGTCGAAACTGAATGATAATAAGCATTAATTACGCAGAATGAATACAATAAAACCAGTATGGTTGAAATGCGATCCTATATTTAGTCATTAACCAGATATGTTTTTCGTAATCGAAAGTGAATGAAAATATTTTATCACTTACTCGTTAACTTGCATATTTCAAGATAATGAATTTACACAAAACGGGTATTTATGAGTATTTATCTATAAGTGAGTTGTTGACGAAAGTTTGTTCATCATTGAAGCGGTCTAACTCAGGCATCAACCATGGCATTATTTAATGTTATTCAATCGCATGAACAGTAACAGTTCTATAATGACTTTTGAAGTCATGGAGCGTTAGTCCCTGTCTAACAGTTTCATTCACCATACATCAAAGCGTAGTGTTTACGATATAAAAACCTAAGACACTAACCAGCACATTGCAAGTTGATCGATAGAATCGAATCAGCATTAATGGGATTGTATTATCACATTATTTTTTTGTTAGTATTTAGCAAGCTATTGATAAAATATCCTAGTCAGTGCAGGAGATCAATCATAAACCAGTGATAGCCCAGTGATAAACAAAACTGATTTTGAGAATGTATTGTTCTACCACAGATAAACGTTTTATCAAATGATTAGTAGTTTTTTAACTAAGTAAATAAATTAAACAAATCTTACTACTAAAAATAGATGTTAATAGTCATAATAATACATTTTGAAATAACAGTTTGCATGTTCTTCACTTAACTTGTCTGTTTTTTTTTGTCTTTGATTCTCCCTCTCCCTCTCTCTCGGTTCGCTTTCTCTACACCTTCAAACAGCACCTAGAACTTCAAGAAACTGACCTGTGAATCAAGTATGTTGATGATGTTTTTTCTTCCTTTTGTATGTTGAATAATGTATACCGACATCTATGTAACCAAAGAATTATTCAATGACTTTTTAATGGAAGAAAGTTTACTCAAAGTTTAAGCTTTTGTTAATAAAAGAAAATATAATATAATGTATATCCTGTTCAAGATGCAAAGTTTCAGTGAAACATTATATTGCCTGAGGGTGGCTCTGATTCACCAACTCACCTATTTTTGCTGGTTTCAACATGGAGATTCGTGGAGTTCTAATGATAGGTTGTAACTATTGTAGTTCAGCCAATTCAAGAAAATGTGTGGGCATGTAGCAGTTGTCCACAGATGTATGGCGTTTGCATGACTGATGCCAATCACCCCAAAACTGACTGAAATTGAATAAATGAACAATGAAATTCTAACTTACCAAACTAAAAGTACCATTTTCATTGTCAGATTTGAAAGTTCTTATTTTAATATCCATGAAGAATATTTGAGCAACCAATTGTTTTCAATAACTTCATCATCAGGCTCGACAGTTATAAGTCCATAATTATGATATTTTAGAAAGGCTAAAAATAAGGCATGACCCTGATAGGGAATAAAGCTAGAACCTTTAGATTTCATAGCAGAGGCTTAGCAATTTACGCCATTGAATCGGTGTCCAATAGTATAATTCCAAATATAATCCATTCACAATATATTAATAACAATCATCAAATTCCCTTGATGACAGTCGTTCTACTCCCGACATGTTTGAACTCGACTAGAAATATATTAATACAATAAATTTAATTCTGAACAGAATTTTCGGGGAAAAAAACACACACATACACCTCTTCATCCTCTTTTGTCTCATTTAAACAAAATTTTATAATTCAGTGTTTCATTTTTAGTTTCATTTAATTTATAAAATATATAATTGTAGGAGAAAAAAGATTATTCCGATTTTCGATTTTCTTTTTCTCCCGTCATTATTATCAAAATGAAAAAAGAGAATGGTGATTAATGAATATCTTTGACTGACCACCTGTTACCTATCTTGTTTATGATATATATATATGTAGTGTGTACGGAGATATTTCTTCAGGTATAACATGTATCCTATCATGTTCTCATTGTTATTATAGTTGATGTTGTTGTTGTTATCTCGTGTCTTGTATAACATGTATACCATGATATAGTTTCTTTCTCTGTAGGATTAGTTTATACACATATCTAAGTAGGCAATATTTGCTTGTTTGTTTGTTTGCTTGTTTTACTGCATATTGTGTTAAATTCTCTTTCATTCATTTTGCGTTTCTTGAGTTTAAATTTTTCGTTTTTCCAAGAAAACTATTTCACTATCTTAAATTCTTTAATCTATATAACTTGATATTAGTTACATTCATCTGTTTCAGTTTTTTATAAGTTATGTATGTATGTATGTATGTATGTATATAGAAACTTGTCTACATTTGTTAAGTTAATTTTTTATTAAAAAGAAATATAGAATAATCCCTTAAATATACATCATCATCAAGTTCCATACATTCCATTACTTTATCTTAATGTTTATCACTTTCTCTACAATCTATGTATTCTTGTATAGGAGAATCAGATATAAGGAGGAACAGAAAGAGAGAGAGAGAGATTAGGAGGTAGAAAGAAGATCATTATATGTTACACATTTTTACTTGTTGTTGCTTTTTGTTCTATTCTATCTTATTTTGCTTTTTTTTCTACATCTCATGTCCATTATTGTGTCAAGAACTATGGGCAAAGAAAATGTCTTCCTTTGGTGGTTTTCTTTTCTCTTTTGTCTTTTAGAATTAATTTTATTGTTGTTAGTTTAACTGTATAATTTTTATTAGTGTAACATATTTTTGTATGAAATGAAAAAATTAACTATTTCTTTATGACATTTATACTTTACTTACTTACGCTAATATATACCATAGTAATAATAATAATAATAATGAGAAACATTATCATTACTAACATTACTACTAGTAGCACTGATATTAGTAATAGTGGTACTTGTGAATGAGTAAAAAAATTTCAAAGCAGATGGTTACTTGTCAATTACTACATTTTGAGCTGTATCTAAAAGTTTGAAATAAACATAAATATTCTACAGTACAAAATGAATACGCATAGGTATATATGTATATTGTTTATTAGATATCAAAAGGTGTGAACAGGTGTGACTAATTCTTGACCAATAATTATTGTTTAGAAAAAATAAATAAATTCCATTGAAATGATAAATCAATCTAGGTTGAACCACCATTGTAAACCTGGAAGCACTGGACGGTTGTTTCGTTCCAGTATGGGACTCTTCAACAGTGTGCATTAGCGGACCTGCACGTGACCTTCGGTCTCACATGAGAACGTCTAACCTTTAGACCACTGAGTCGGCATCTGACAGCATTAATGCCTGACTTCCATCAATCCACGACATTAAGAGACCATCTTTCGTTGTTTTCGGTGGTTAACTGCCTCATAGCCTATATGGATTAGCTCCACTAGTTATGACTTCTTACTAAAACTCCGCAAATTCTTTCTCAAAGCTAGTCACTAGTGAGCACATAACAGTTGTCAACAAAGGGTTGTGAAGAATGTTGTATTTCATTGAAATCGTGAACCGAATCAAGTTCGGTCACCATTGAAAACCTGAAAGCACTGGACGGCCGTTTTGTTCTAGCATGGGACTGCTTCCTTAGAATAAATGATTAAAACATACTAATATAAATTTTCCAGAATTATTGATTTTAAATTTCAGTAAAGTTCGTTTTAGTGTTTATCTCTTCCCATATCAGTTGAGTAAATCGATGCAGACTACCTCATTATCATCTACGTGACTATCATAGCTAGTACGTAGAAACATTCACTCTTTCTCACAAAATACCTATATATTTTATTTCACGAATACGTCCCTTCATTCCAAATTAACTTGTTTATAATTATTCTTTTTTACTACTAGTGATGCCGTCACAATTTCTATTACTCTGATAGTTATCTTGATAATTTCTTCTGACCCTACTGATATGTTGTAACAAACTGAGTCAATGAATATAGATGCCAGGTTCTACGTTGCCTGTTACTGAATGATTAATCAGCTTTCAGTGTTCAATTGTCTAGAAAGTAACATAACAGACACTGAACTGCTGGAGTTACTGGTTTCAAGCCAAGTGAAATTGAGTGTTGTGTTGTTATTCAGTTAAGGTCCAGAATGGCTGAAAATTAATAAGAATTTTTTACAAATTAGTTCAATAATACACATTGATCTTAAATAACCTGAATACCTTTTTTAAAAGAAGCAGTTGAATAATGTAAGAATTATTCTCAGTAAAACAGAGCTCCGTTCATTCGAATATTGTTACTGGCCTAATTGATTGGTATAGAATCTTAGATTAGATTTTTAAGCATTTTGCATCAACTGCTATGTAACTTTATTAAGGATTTGTAACTTCCTATTGCTGATGTTCAGGACTAGAATTGATCATTATATATTGTCATATGTGCTTCCTAAGCTAAATGTCCCGAAATGACGTTAATTAAAAACTTTTAGTATATTTAGTTTGTAGCTAACAGTGGAACCCAGAACACATGTTTTACTCCAGTTGGGATATGTCAGTTCCAACATACTGTTGATGTTCGAATCGAAACTCAAACCCAGTAATTTTCAGTTGAAACTCAAGTGCTCTATTCACTGTGACACTGATTCCAAATAGCCACCTTCGCGACCGTTAAGCATTTTAATGACTACACCTACTCAGTAGCACAGTGGATAACGCGTTCATTTTTGAACCAATATATAGCGACTTCGATTTTGGATGTGTACTTCAATACCGAAGAGTTACAAGTGGAATGAAACGCGTGTTCTAGATTCCACTGTTAACTACGTACCAAATATACTATAACTCATGACCCAATGCCATATCAAGGCAGTTCGCTCAGGATGCACATATAACAACAGAGACTAGTCGACTGTTTTTCTGAATGTCAACAATAGGTAATTAAAAACTCTGACCAAAGTTGCAAATCATTTGATCCAAAATCTATAGAAATCCTAACTCAACCAGATTTTATTCGTTTAGTCAGCATCAGTTTCTTTATTATTACATTTACGTCTTCTCGACGAGTGCCAACTAGCAAAACCAAGTTAAACAGCTTATGCTGTTGGCCACCTACCTCAAACCTCCTAAAACCTCAACACCTAGTCTACATAACCATATATTCCATACGTAAGTTCAACAATATTTGTTACGATAATAATAATACTATTTTTAAGGACTAAATAATTTGACATCATGAAATGCAGTCATCTCTTATTGTCTCCATTAATAATGATGATTAGAATATTAAACTCGATGACTACTGATAATAGTAAAACTTTATTTACTTTTCCAAATAATACCACTTTTACTACTGTTCACTTCCGGCATACATTTGTATTGGAAAATAATTTCTGTGTTTATAGGTCTATTTGATGCCACCCTAATTTGCTTCCTAAAAATCTCGAGAAACAGTTTTAACATTTTGTCTACATTGACGTCTCATGGTTTCGTTTTTCACTTGTCATATACATATCTAAATGACTAGGCATCAATGCACTTCCATGTAATATACATACATGAGTATATTTACCGATATTAGTTTTGTATAGTTAAAATGAATGTATATGGGAAAGTAGTTACTAATATAGTATGAAATACTTACACCATGTTATAAATATCATGGGACATAGACGCACTCACACATATTTACATAAACACACAGTCGAGATTTGATTCTCTAATAGCTCTTAAAGAAAAAGATAAATTTTCGGTTTATGATAACCTGACCTACTTTTATTCTACTAAGGGTATATATATATATGTTAGTGTGTGTATCTATTCCAGTTATTACTATCGTCCTAATTTGACCATTTTCTTATTTTGCTCTACTACTACTACCACTAGTGATACTTCCGGTCTTTTTGGGTTACAAGAACTGTTTTTGGGTAATCTAACTTTATCCATTTACAGTGAGTATTATTATTATTATTATCCTCGTATTATTTATGGTATTGAGTCTTACCACGTGAATTTGAAAAAAATGACTGACAAATAGCTTACTATATGTGAGTGAATCTATGCATATGTAGGTGTGTATATTTTCTGATTAAGCACTAGTCTCAAAATAGATTCGTGCTTACAGTTAACTTATCCTATGTATCACATTCAAGTTGGCCGTATTCATTTCCAACTCTATCCCGTTGTCTCTCTCACACACACATACTCACTTTGTCATACACACACACACACATGAACATATTTAAAATAAAACTAATTATAGGCCCTCAAGGTTTATTTTATTTCGAGTTGACTCTGTTCTTTGGAAAACTTTAAATTTTTGTTATGTTCATCTTATTCTATACTTATTTCCTTAAATGAATTCTTTCTCGGTTTCTTATTTCTATTAAAATATACAGCTGAAGTTCTTAGCATTCATTTATGTGTGTGTGTGTATGTGTACGCATCAGTGTGTTGATGTGCGTCAGTGTGTTCACAATGGATCTTGTAGTATATTTTTGTTTTATGCTTGAAGAAAAACAACAACAACAACAACAACAAAGTAGAAGAGAAGGTATATTCACAACGACAGTAATATCAACACCTTAGCCTATGCTAATCTAAGGTCATGTATGTGTATAACCGTAGAACTAATAATCATAATAGTAGCATAACTATGGAGTATAATATAGTACTGAAAATTAATTAATATTATTTGTCAGAATAGAGGATAGATATACATATATATACACGCAAAACGCAACTAGTTTGATTTCATTCAAAGTTGTTGTGATTATTGTGTTTCTATCGAGAAATTCTTCTGAAATAAAAGTTTAACTTATTTGTTTTGTTGTTTTTGTGTTTTTTTTTCAAGAAAAACAGTTAATTATTCTAGTTCAAAATTTAAATAAAGAAAATAGAATTATATGAGGTTAGCAGTTAGTTTCTGTTGCCTAGTTTACTGAGATTATATAAAGAAGAAATAATATGTGCATAGACTTTTGTGAATTTTAAGATGGTAGAGAAGATTTGTAGCTCAGATGAAGTTGTGTTGATGATGTCATTCAGAAAAACGATGAAAGCTCCACGACTAAATCATCCATCAAAAACTTTTGTGAATATTTTTAAATGAATTCAGGAATGTTCTTTAATCAATTTCAAAAAAAATTTTCTACATGGAATTTGTTTATTTGAATTTGTTGGTTTAGAAAACTTTATTAGTTCAATGGTATTAATAAAAATAATATGATAGAATTAGATTGAGATCTGCTTTCAGTTGTAATGATGAACTAATCTAAGTGAGTAGGTTTCTGTAGAAGATTTTAAGTCAAACTCTGATGACGAGTATCAGCTAAGATGAAACCTATATCAAAACACGATTTGTTATTGATTAACTTTAAGCACTCTATATACATCAAAATGCATAGAATGCTTGAGTCACTTATATCACTGGTCAGATTTCAACCTGATCACTAGACAAGTATGAAAATGACTTTGATTCGATAACCATTGCAAGTCGGTGAACGGTGGACATCTATTACATCTTACTTTGAGACTCCACAGTTTACATTTACGACTTTATCAAAATCTTTGGGCTTTGACAACTGACTAGGCGCTGTCGGCGAAGTCTGAAAGTCCTCAGTTCTATCCCTCGCGGTCTTATGGATGTACATTGATTAGGAGTCTAATACTAAGGTAAAACACATAATCAAAGCTTTCCAGTTTTTAACGGTCGCCCAACTAAAGTCAATTCATAAGTTGTACGTGTATTTAAATACTTAATTCGATGTATTTTGAAAGCAATGAATTACTAAAAAAACTAATGAACATTTGACACATGTTCCCGTTTTCATCTGTAACTTCTAGAGATTATGCAACCTCAACCGCATATTCGCACACAGGATAATGCTTAAGATTTTCAGATATCACAGTGGTGAGAACAATACCACTGTTTCACTAAGGTGCTATGTAGTCCGTTATATATATAATCACCATCGTTTCCTCCAACTGTAACAAATCAAAGGTTCATTCCTAATTTGTTTGTCTAATATACATCATATCTGGACTAGTCAAGGCTCTTAAGAAATGATTAACCAACAAACTACTGAGTTACAGTCCAAGGGTTTAGCATTTACTTAACTTCAAAATACTCCTATCAAAATCTAACAGTCATATGTTCCATCCCCAACGAGATGATAAGTGTACACTGTTATAAAGAGACAATTATATACTAAGAGGGGGGAAGGAAAAAGCTGTGTTCATTCTTACTTACTTCAACTCATGTTTTGTTTCATATTTTCAAAATATTTAGGTTAGAAATTAGTTTTATTAATTTGTCAATTTTTTTATTGCTTTTTCTAGACAAATAAATAAACTATTCTGGATATAAAATATGATAATTTACTATCCAATATATTACCATATTGTTATTATACTACTGAATAATGTTTTCTGATTAAATCCATGTATAAACAACTCAACAACTCTTTGTATACAATATTTTAATGATTTCTTCCATCAATCTCTCCATTGTTATCACCCTTTGCCCCCGCCCCCCACTTTATTGTTCATTACTTCTTAGATTTGTATCCACTATCAATTATATATATATATATATATATATATATATATATATATATATACTCACAAGTATGAATTCTTGACAAATGTTTCATAGTATACCATTGATGTAAAATTTCATTTGATTATTCAATGAACAAAATAACCAATACAAGATATCAGAAAATACAATTCAACACAACTCCCATTCACCTCACGTCCACAGATATACACAAACATGATAATGTATAGCTTAATTTTACTGATTCAACTATTTTCTATGTATGACTATGGTCTCTATCATATGATTACTGCTCAACTCCACATAGCAATCTTTAAAACCAACAACAATGAAATCTTGTTCAGTTGTCATCTTATCATTCTTAACAGATAACTTATCATTGTCTCTGTCAATATTATTACTGCTATGATTATTTATTTACCTACATCTTGATCATGTTTTGTTTTGTTAAAAAAACAAATTGCTTTTTCTCCTGTGATTTTGCTTTTCTTTACATTGTCAATTAGTTTATAATGCTTCTTCTCTGTTTTATTTGTGAAGGACCAAGTGTGTAAATGTATGTATTGATCATAATGGAATTTATCATTATGTTATACTGTAATGATTGATACAATTACTATGAAGTGAACTAATTGTGCTGACCAATCAAAATAATAAAATTGATTTTTTTTTAGAAAAAAGTTTTTAGTTGGATACTCCTAGTACGTATATCCAAGTAGTGTCTACCTCAACAAGTGTTGTTTACTAGTAGAGGAAATACTGATATGCTTTGTCGATTGAACGCTATTTGTTATATCTCATCGTCGCTGATTGTTATGTCGGAAACACTTATCAATTATACTCAAAAATGAGGGACTTTTGCAATTATCACGACGTGAAAATAAGAACACAAAGACTGGTATAAGTGAACCCTCAAAACACGATGACGACGACCCTGGTCGAAAATGCATTCATTTATATATTGATTCATACACCCATTTTTTAATTAATAATTAGAATGAAATCACATATATGAAAAATACTTTGGGTTATAACATGTTGCATGCTGAGTATAGTTGATGTTAACTTAATATAAGAATATCGTATGTTATACAGAATAAAACAAAATCGAATACTACACTGAATAGTTACCACGTTGAATTAAAACGGAATTAATGTTGAACCAAAAATCATAATCTATAAATCAGTCTAATTTGGACTTTTCTTCCCATTATATCACCACAATGATTGGAGCGATTAAATCAAGACATAGTATCAGTTTATAAAATTATTGACTGTTAGAATGAACAGTGTAGGTAGGTTCAGACTATATGATTTGGGTCTTCGCGATTATCGTAGTCAGTAGTTGGGGATATTAAGGAATATTGAGTACATTTATAATGGATCAAATGTATTCACTCTTTGTTTTTCTTCAAATATTAAGTTTTAAAAACTATCTTAAACGTTTTATTCTGAGAATTCATCATATTTTCTTGAATCATTATCTTGCTTACTAATCCTACTACTCTGAGATTCATCTTAATCATTTCACTGTACCGATATGCTATGGCAACTTAAATTGACCTACAACTATATCAGAACCTTCGTTACTCATGACTGACCAATAAAGTTAAGTAGTCCAATGACGTATCAAAAAATGATGTACATTAAATAGATAAAGGAATGATACTATGAAAAATATAAAAACTGGGAAAAATACAACCGAAAAATACTTCCAATTTCGGGCTATCCTTACAGTTCCATGATTTTCACTAGCTTCTATTCTGACACATATCTAATAATGTGTCATATCATTAAATTCCATGACCTTTAGCACTGCAACTAGAGGTATGCTAGAGAGAACAATTCAGATTCGGACAAGTTATGTATTAAATATACATTCATTTAATTATTATCTGTGATGGTGTATTGTACACTACCTACCCACCTATTACATTCTCTTTTTGCTTGTATATATTTCGTGGTGTAACTTGGAATTCTTAAAATATTGATTTGGTTCGAATAATATTGAAAAGAGTTTTACGCCTTTAGATCACTTCAATACATATTGAGTGACCATAATTCTGAATTAGGTAACTCGAAATCTTATTTCATTCAATAAAGTAAAATGCTATACATCCCTACTAGGATTGCATTCTCTAACAACTGGTACATGTCTACAATCAAAGAAATGGACGAACTTTCTGACAATCCAACGTTTTATAGCTAGTTTATCATATTTTCTACATTAAAATTACTCATGATCCAGAAGGAATGATGATTACTGATTGTAATTATTTAGATTGAGGCTAGGTTTCCCCCTTTTTGTTATTTTATAACTAGCTGAATCCTCCATTCATAAGTAAGTATAAGAAAATATGTTTAATTTTTCGAATACTCATGACACACAAAAAAAGGCTAAAAGCTATTTTTGGCTTTTATTTTCCCCGCCACAATATAACATACACGTGCTTTATACAGCTTAAATCCCTTGACCTTCTTTTACGCTTTCCAAATGACCTAACACTTTCTGTGACGTACTGTTAGGAATTAATGAATGATTTCATGCGTTAGAATAGATTAGGCAAAAATAATTGAAAAACTATAATATATATGGCTCGTTATCGATCATATGTCTACAATCAATGCATATAATATTCTGTTGAGCTGTTATGGAATATAAAAACTGATATATTTATGATAGAGTTGGATAATGACTAGTAATGAAACCCATGACGCTCGTTTCGTCCTACTTCATGCTCTTCATCTGGATATGCCTGTATCCCGAAACTGTTCGCTTCAAGCACCATTGCATTACCCACTTAGCTACTGAGTTCAGATAGTCACTAGCTTGTTCAATAAAATGATTTTTAATTCATTTGTATTAGTCTTTTGAATCTTCTGATTGTGTTTAGGACTGTACTTGATCAGTCTCTAATCGGTATATGTCCATCCTATGCGGATCATCACTGCTAGCTAACATACAACTTTTTAATAATGCTTATGACTTAATGGAAGTATTAAGGTAATCCACACTAAGTGCACATATACTAAAAAGAGACAAATCAATTGCAGTCGTTAACATCAATGCGAAGATTCAAACAACCAATGCAAAGGAACTGATATATTTATAGCTAGTTTTATCAGGGTCTTCATTTTATTTGGATTGTGGCTATTAATGGAATACAGGATGTACACTTCATCCTATTAAACAATGTACTTTCTATTTCAAAATTGAATGTCTTGGAAAATTTTCTGTTATTGCTTGTAATCATTTGTAACAAGACTGATTTGCCAGTGTTGTGATTTAAATTGATTGCTAATTACTGCTAATGACATGACTGTTTGCTATAACTAAAGATTAGCTATCAGATACAACTTATTTCATAGGAACGGGTATGCTATGCCAAAGCAAGGAAGAAAACAAGACTTTAGAAGGCTGATTTAGTCACTAGCTTCTAATAAAATGACATCTATAATAATAATAATAAATCACATATCATTTTACATTTTCGGTCAACCAACGAATTTGAATGAATCAGCCAAAAGTCAATCAGTAATCTATTATATGTATAGGATTCGCAATATCGATAAATTAACTGACTCGAATCAGAAATGTAATTCATTAATGAATTATATATATATACTTCCTTCTTAATAGCTAATGGTATGGTTGTTTGCTCTGACTGAAGAAGAACTGCTAACTATTTAACAGAACGAGACTCGAGACTTTTAGATGAAGATGTATTTATGCACCAAACACTGGTTGTCAACTGATCGAAATGTATAAAGTTACATATTCTTTTAAATAACTGATCAAGTAGATAAGTTTAAATGCTTTTCACAGTTGAATTCACGAGTCAATATGAGCTAAACTATCGCTGGAAACAATAGACGGTCGGTTCGTCCTAGTATAGGACTCCGGAAAAGTGCTCACCCACGAACTCTTACACGAGAATAGAAAACAAGACCTTCAATCTCGCGCTCGGAGACGGCACGTTACTGTGTTGATGTCCAACCTCGATCAATTCATGATGTTGCACAACTCTTCATTTATTGTGTGAGGTAAATAAACATCTCACACCCTAGACGGATTAAACTCCACTGGTCATGGTTCCTCACTAGAACTTTAGGAGTTCCATCTTGAAGATATTCACTAGTGAGCACATGATTATTATCAGTAATTCTGTGTAAGTAACATAATAAGGTCAGTATAAAACTGTTGACATATCTTGTTAAAAAGTCAAATGATTCCCAATAGAGCGAAACAATTATCAAGAAATTTTACTGTTAAGAGTGACTGTCTCACTGTCATCAACACTGTGGCATTATATAAATGGTCATGAGTAATCCTCTAAAAGTTTAGGAATTCATCCCAAAATTAGCTATTTCCTTACTAATGACTAACCATTTGTCTCAGATGATGTTTGGGGAGATTGTTTAGTTTGACAATATTTGACTTATTTATTTATATTGACATATTTTGTCAACAACGTTATTCAAAGTAGTTCAAGCTTAACGTCTTAGTTTGGTAAACTACATGACACAAGTTTGAATCCACCAGCGATCATTGACACCTTTAATATTTTTTTTATTTCAACACATAGATAATGGTACAAAGAGGCACCAAATACATATGCGCCACACAAATCTCATTCGATATGTGTGAGGGCTGTGATACTGCACGGGGCCCAAACCAAAGCAGGTGGTTTTCTTAGGGGCCACACCCCGAGCCTTCGACCTGAAGGTCTGATCCACAAGGCAGTGGAGCATCCTGAGGAGATGCAGTCCCATGGTAGCCGGTGACCAACGATTGGTCCATAGGCCATTTGTTCCCTCAGGATACTGGAGCCCATGTGCACCATTGGTTTTGAATCCGGTTAAACGCCGGACATTCGATTTTCGTCCCTCAT